AATAGAGGCCATGTTCGAATAAAGAGAATTAAGTGGACACATTTTACCAAGATATACCCAATACTTGTACTCAGTCTTGTTCCTTTTAGGCAGTCAACGTTTGCGAATATCCTGCATCAGTAACAAGTAGAAAGATATGTCTTTACTAATCCTTATGGTTATGAATTCAAGAATTACTTCTGCTGGGCAAGATTCTCTCTCTCTCTCTCTCTCTCTCTCTCTCTCTCTCTCTCTCTCTCTCTCTCTCTCTCTCTCTCTCTCTCTCTCTCTCTCTCTCTCTCTCTCTCTCTCTCTCTCTCTCTCGTAGTGTTTATAAAGTGCGAATGTGAGACGGGCCTGCGTACCTATTTTATATCCACTGGAGAAGTCACTAACAGAGACTTCACAACATCAAACCATACCAAGCAACCGAGGGTTTCCTGGTTCGGTCTCCTATCTTCTGTTAAACCGACTTTTAGAGGCACAAGGCAAATATAAAAAAAAAAAAAAGAAGAAGAAGAAAACCATGGAGCAAAAAGAGAAGAAACGAATGAACACTAAGTTGTGAGGATGGAAATATCCTGCTCTAAAAGACCATAATTCCCATAGTCAGAGAGGGCTGAAAGAATCTGCACCTTTGTAGTACATGATAAACATGAACAAGGCCCTAATTTTCAACCGTCAAACAACAAGCTTAGCCCCACTCCACCATCACCTTGTCGGCCAACCCCAATTTTTCGGGGACAAAATTTTTAAAAAAAAAAGGGGGCAAACCCCTTTTAACCCCAATACCCCAATCCTTTTACTGCGGGTTTTTTAAGTAAATTTCCAAAAAACTGCCAACCCCGAAACACACTTAGTTTTTTTTTACCCTTTTTAAAATTCCCTTTTTTAAAAAAAGCCCCTTTTCATAAATTTCGGTTTTTTTTTTTTTTTTCCCCCCCCTTTTTCCCTTTTTCCCTTTTTCCCTTTTTCCCCTTCCTTTTTCCCCCCCTTTTTTTCCCCTTTTTTTCCTTTTTCCCCTTTTTCCCCTTCCTTTTTTTTTTCCCTTTTCCCTTTTTTTCCCCTTTTTTCCCCCTTCCCCTTCCCTTTTTCCCCCTTTTCCCTCCTTCCCCCTTCCTTTTTTTTTC